CTTTTGTTTATTAAGAGAAGATCTGATAAGACTGAGAGTTGGCAGATCTCCAAAGGAAGCTGAGAAAGGCTTGTGACACCCAAAGTTAATACTCATGCAGTTCAGTGCAAAGATGTGCACCATCACAAGATATAAAACAAAAAATGTTATGCATCATCTCATGCTATTCATATTTAGAATTGGAATCTGCTATTTTTTAGCTGTTGGTAAGCAAACATTGTGGCAGACAGGGAGGGTTTTAAACCGGCTATACAGATGTATAGCTTTTCATTCTTCATCCATCCATCTGACCTGTGATCCTGCTAATATATCTCTTAGGGATTGTGTTCTTTACTTTGGCTCCTGCAATTCCTACATTGCATCCCCAGGGCAGGAGACTTCCCCAGTCCCTCTGGGGACTCTGCCTCCCAGAGTCCCTCTGCCATCCTGGCGGTGTAGCCACAGCCATAGGGATCCCATGAGATAAGGAGTAACAGCGTGGCAGACACACAGGTGTGGCACAGCTTGGATACCAGGCACACTTCAGAAATTCCCTACAGCAGTCAGACCCAGCACAAAGAAAGTGAAGGAGTAACTCTAGACTCTCTATGACTATTCTCAACTTCAGCTAATACCTCCTGGGTGCAAAGGAAATATTTTTATAAAGTCTTGGGCTACTTAGTAAAAGATGCTGTACAGGTGTAGTGTTTTATAATTATCACCTGTGGCCTTGCAGGTTTTCCCTCTTTTCTCTTCATTAGGGTACTGTAAGCTGTTGCTCCTGCAGAAACTCCAGTCCTTCCAGAGTGGGCTCATCCAGAAGGAGGTGCTGTATTTCAGCTTGTTCTGAGAGACGATGCTGTTGTGATGTGGTCTGTCAGAGTTGTAGGAGAAGGACTTTGATTCTCTTATCTGGACATGCCTGGAAGGACTACCCGTGCAGTTGCAGTCGCTGTTATAGGTGGAATGTATGCACAGGGCTTCTGCCTTTGTTTCTGAGCTGAAAACCCCTTTTTCGTCACCTTCGGAGAATCCCCAGTTCACATAACCACCTTCAGTTTCTTCTCTGTTGTGGCAGGAGGGTGCTGCACTCTCTTCAATATCCAGTGATGGCTGGAGACCAAGAGGATGATCAGTCTCTATGGCAGTAGTCTCTTTGGATGGTAAATTAATAACAAAGTCTCTCTGGCTCCATTGATAATCTTTTGGCTCTTTTCCAGTGAGGCTGACACTCTGCAAGTTTGGCTGCACCACAATGCTACTTTGCAGTTCACCTCTGAATGCATCGTCCCTGTGTTTGGAAGGAGTGCTTAAAAATGATAAGTCTAAAGTAACATCCTCAGTGAAAGACCCTCCCTGATGGTCAGGGGGAACCAGCAAAAATCTGCCATATCTAGGGGTTGACTTAGTCTCAGAGGATACTCCTGAAGTGAGTGTGTCACTTTCCATTTCTATCTTGCGAGAGCTGTCTTCTACCACCTTGTTACTCCCAGTCCTCGATACATGGTCTTTGGACTCTGAGGGCCACTGGTTCCTTACCAAGCTCCGTAAGAGGGAGGGTGGCATGCTGTAGTAGTGATATTTCTTGTCATACAAACACTCCAGGCTGCTCAAGGTCTTGGAATAGAGTGCATTGCTCCAGCTATGGGGCAGCTTCTTACAGGTTTGATGTTTTGTGTCAGCCAGTAAGGCTTCTTCCACCTGCAAGGTGTCTACAGCTGAAAGCACTTTCAGGATGTCCACTGTCAAGGCAGACAGGTCTTGCAAATGTCCTAGCTGGCTGTCCAGGGAGAGTAAAGACTCCTTGATATAAAACACCTTCTCATGCACTTCTTTAAGCTGCAGAAACATCTTCTCCACTCTAGATGGAAAAAAGAAAATGTAATTAAAATACCAAACCACAGATCTTTACTTCTGTTTCCACATGACAAAGGAAGCTACTAACACATTTCTAAATCTCAGTGTTTCAAACAGCCCTTTTTTTTTAATGATGACTTCCATTCCCATGTACATCTCTATCTGACAAAACCCATCCAGACTTAGAACATCTCATTCAGATCACTGGGCCAACAGACAGTGACTTTTAAGGAAACAGGCTTTTTTCCTCAAGGTGTATCTACTTTAAAAACCGCTGTTTTCCTACTAATGTCCATTCCTTGCTGTAGAACTACTAAACCACGGACAGAAGGTCCGTGAATTTGGAAATTCTGCACTGGCTATTGCTGTAAATGTAAAACGCTAAAAGGTATTTTTTTTGTCAACCATTCGTCCTTCACTTCTACATTTCTTGTGCAAGTATGAGGAGGACAAGGCTCACACAAAACTACAGATACTCTTGCATTTCTCAAATACTGGAGACTGCTGAGAGAATGCCTTTTCCAAAAATCTATTTGGCCTCTGGGAACAGTTTTTGTATGTCTGATGCCATGAGTTATCTTCAGGTAAAATTCAACTGCCCAAAAAACAAAGCCTTTTTTTGTGGCATTCAAATCCCCAGTGAACAGTGCAAGAACTTCTTGGCCTGGAATGATACCATTTCAACCAAACCATTATCTTCACATTTCCTGAAGACATCTTCTCTGGTGCTCTAAGACAATGACAAACTAGCTGCAGGGAATATGCAAAAGTTGCTCCTTTCCTTTGTCACTGAGTAACTAACATATATAGTATTTAGCCAATAGCTGAATAAAATCAAAGACCAGTGTTCCAAAATATTTTATTCATCTAAATTATTTTTTGTACTACTGTTATACAATGTTGTGAAGTGTGTGTCACCTTTGCACTCAGAAAAAAATCCTTTACAGATCTATATTCATCCACTAAATGAAATATGCTTGCTGTAATCAATTCTGCCGCTTTTGAGTAAAGCTACTTATTTCATATCTTTTACAGGGGACATTCATTTTGCTAGTGTGTTTTGGTTTTGTATGCAGAAAATAAGATTATGAACAGGCAAAGATTAAGAGGCTATCTTTCTCTAGGCAAAACAAATTTATTAGGTGAGATCAGTATTGGTATTCTGTAAGATTTTTTATAGTGCTCACTTTCTTTAACTCTTCCCATCAAACTTAATGGCGGTTTTGCCATTTATTTCAACAGAAAGCTAAATTAGACCAATACTGAGAGTTTTGAAACCCACTGACAGTTGCGTATTGACATTCTGCAAACCAAGACTCTACATTGCAGATAATGCTACAATGGTTAAATGGTTATTTCTGTAAACAGCAGTTATGCTCAATCACAAGCAATACTCTCTTTTAAATAAAAATATATATTGGATGCCGTACTCTGGTATGTTTTCATGTCTCCAGAAGTGAAACAAAGTAACAGCTTATTGTACCTCTTAAACCACCTGGACACAGATACATAACATTTCCACCAAAATAGCGAGGCCTATGCACATTATTGCTCCTAATTTTCACAGTGGTCATGACTTGTTCCAAAAGCATTAGCTTTTCAGAGTCTTTTTATGTGACAAATGTACACAAAGAGCACAAATCTGCAGCAAAACACACCTTTCTGTTGTCAGACGGATCCTTTCGCTGTCACTGGAATTCAGGCTTTCATTCTTCTCATGAAAATACTTTTCCACACATTGTTCCTCGAAGTCATGGAGTTTCTTTAGTTCCTCATCACTCAGGTACAGCTCTGAACAAAGGAGGCAGAAATCAGTATGAAGCATTGTTTATAAGCATCCATGAGAAGAAAAAAACAACAATTACAAAAAACCCCAATGTGTCAGAACTGGTTTCCTCCCCCTCCTTTGACAAGAACGAAACAGACCTAACTCCATGAATCTGGGCTTACGTATAAAATACTCAACATGCCAAATACATGTAAATGTGTTTTTCATCTTTTCTTAGACAGGGAGCAAAATCACACTGACAAAAATTCCAACGCACTCCCTTTTAAAGCATCAAAGTACATACCCAAATGGTTCCTCACAAAAATGTATTTTCTCCCAAATGTTTTCCTGTATTTTCCTCTATTTTGTTATTTCACTACAATTTGTTCCAGGCATTTGTTTCGAGCCAGTCACTTATAACACTTACAGTCCTTTCAGGTACTCAAAGCTACAAAGCTTTTTTTTCACCTAATCGCTCCACATGTTCATATATACAAAAATTAAGCAAGACTACTGGGTGAGTAGTAGGTTTAAAACTTTCAGAGGTTTAAAACTCCACAGCTTGGGCAGATCATGATGCTATTCTTCAGGCACACCAAGACCTCTGAAAGAACAGATCAATTATCAGTCAGTATGAAGAAATGCATATGGTGGAAAGCTGCTTCTCTAGTCCAAACTTCACATCTTCCAAGCTCCTTTTTTTTTTCTCTTTTTCTACATACCAGAGTCCTCACTGTCCTTGCTAGAGGGGGCATCTGTGCCAAGCAACATGGCAGTGTTTCCTACAAGTGCGTAGTACTTAGCTGCATCACACAGCTCAGCAGGGAAGCCTCTCACAGTGTTCTGGCACCCTTCTCTCACTCCGAATGAGACTCCATCACCTCCTAGGCTCTTTTCCCCCCACTTACTCATCTGTGTTCTTGCCTCCAAGATTTGTCTCAGCATCTTGGTATTTTCATTGATTTTCCACAGGGTGGCACTGGATCTTCATTGCTACAACCAGTTAATTATAACCACACCAAAGTTTAAGTAGAATAAATTTATCAAGCAATGCATAAGCATATAGAAAAGGGACACCAAGGCACACAACCAGAAAAACATCTCTTTCTGAGAGAGATGTAAGTAAGGCATGAGCCTCTTCTATGCAAGGACTTTTAAATGTGCTAAGCAGCGTTTCAGTTTCCTTGTGCCTAATGCCCCTTATAAGACACCCTCTATGCTACATCAGTGACTTATACCATGCATGCATATAAAATAAGCAGCAGTACTTCAAAGGCAGGATGATGTATCCAGTCATGATGGAGGAGCTGAGCCTGGGAGCAGCAGTAAAGCAGCTCAGCATTGATTAGTTAAGCCATTTTTGAACTCTGTAACCACCTGTGAGCATGCCAGATACCTTCAGGAACTCATGTTCAGAAGAGAAAATCCTCAGTGAAGCATAACACAGGCAGGGTCTGCTCACTTCTGTTATTAGGCATCAAGGATGTATGTTGCACTAAATATGATGAGGCTGTATAACACTATGCATCAACATTCCTCAATGTTTTCTTAGATAAGGTTACAGCCACCAGCCTCTCCTCCTCTCCATTCCCCTGCAACCACCAAGCCCCAGTATTCATTCCCATCCCAACATCTTGCCATCCCCTTCCTACAATGACTAGGGCTGCTCCTGGCTCCTCCAAAGGAGCTGACAACAGTGGGACAGGGAACTGGCATCACCTTAAAGAGGTATTAGGAAGAGCCCTGGGAAAAGTCCAGGTTGGGAAGGGTGAAGGAGGTGGGGTTAAGGCGCAATGATGAGCCAGTGCATGAAGGGAAGGATGCAGTGAGGAGATGTGAGGCCCTAATGCACCTCTCTCTGCACCTGTCATTGCTACATATCCTGTCCTCAGGCCCTGCGGCTACTTCCTCTGAGCGATTAGAAAGAAATTATTTGTCTTTTCAGGACAAATGTACAGAAATGTATATCTCCAGTACCGTTTACTTTCAAGTAAAGTCTATTCATTCTTACAGAATAAGCTGCTTGCACTTTATTTAACCTCAGACTTGTGATGTATCATGACTGATCCACAGTGTGTAGGGCAGCAAAAGCCAAATGCAAAGCCAAACATTGCCCTAGTCACTTTTTCCTACAAGTTCTCAGACAGACAGGTTAAATTCAGTTTTGCAAATAAAAACAACCTCCTACCCAGAGATTCTCTCTCTTTGTTTTTTTTTTAGGAAGTGAGGTACAAAGTGATGGGAAGCTTGCAAAACATTCCTCATCAGCTATTTCTTTTGGCTCCCAGCTTAGCTGTGCTTACTTAGTCCAACATCGCCTTCCTCTTGATCCAGCTCATTCTGGGGCCGATGGCGGAAGATGCAGTTTATCAGAAGTCCAAAGTGGCTCAGGAGGATGAATGGTGGAGGCAGCCATGGCTTCTCATGGTAGGTCATAATGTAGCGGTAACGGTTGTACTTCCAAAGCTTGTTCGATATGGATTTCAAATCATAATAAACATTACTGAGAAGAGAGATAGAGGGGGAAGGAGGGTAAAACACTCCTGTGAGGAATACTCCCAATACAGCGCAAGATGCTTGTCTACAGATCTAATTTGACACTGAAGAAAAGTCCGATCCCTCCAGTGAGGTAAATCAGCTTGGCAACTTTCATTTAACAAAGCAGCACCATGTGCCTGCAGCTAGTGCACTGAGAATGAGATCTTCAAAGCTGCCTAACGGATCTGGAGATTCAATTCCCATTCACATTAATGGGAACTGGGCAAAAAATATCCCTGAAGTGGCTTTGAAATCTCAGCCAGATTATTTAAACTTTAATACATAGCCTAACTGAGGATTCAACATTGTCAGCCTCTTTGGACCAGATTAAATGCAGGAGTCAGGCTAAAGGAATAGTGTTAACAAAATTATTCTACTGCTTTTCAGTGCACTCCCCCTAAACAAAATACTTGCTGCAAGTGATTGCTGCAAGACTACTACCTGCAAGGGTAGTCTTTGGAGCTGTGATATTAGTAAACATGACTGTTGTTGCACTGAATAATTTCCCATATCTACTATCACAGACCCATGTACAGGCAAGCAACTTTGTGGTTTCTGGCACTGTAATTTCAGTTGGACCATCATACTATACACCCAGCATATAATCACAAAAACATCAGCTCTGCTTCTGGGACCACAATTAAATATATTGCGCATACCCGTTTTTGGTCCCACTTCTGAAATGATCAAATCACTAGGCAGAAGATTTAACATATCATCATTGCTGAAGGTTTAAATCCAGAAATAATTCAAATTACAATTTCACAGCTGTGTATTAAAAAAATAAATTGATGCCTTGCCACAGTTTCAGGAAAGGGATTTCTAATTGGAAGTGGGAATAGAATGAGTTTTGATCATTTCGTTTTCTTGAATATTAATCACTACATTTCTTCATTTGAAATTTTTTTAACCTACACCTGACTTTTTCTTCCCCAGAAATACTAGAAGTCGAGGAAAAAATAACTACTTGTGTTAGGTTGCTCTTTACTAATATTTTACAGAACTTGATCAACTACAAGGATTTCCTTTTTAAAACCTGAAAGGTTAGCATTAATATAAAGACAATGATTAATTAGTACAGAATTACTCTGAATTACTAGAAAGACCCTTCCTACTCTGACAGCAGACATTAAAAAGCAGATTGTTAAAAACACTAGAGTTAGGTTTCAGTAGAACATATCAAACTGCACCAAACAACAGGAATCTTCAAATTATTTCCTAAAGCAAGAGCATGC